ATACCAAGTCCGAGTCCCATCCCATCTATTTCTGTTTTTTCAGTTAGAGTTTTGGAGATTAGTGTATTTTGTACACTGAAATCATCAATCAATGATTGTTAGACCTCTATTAAAAACCTGAAAGCACTGGACGGCTGTTTCGTCCCTGTATGAGACTCATCAGCTGTTTTGACAAATAGGTAGTATCATTATCCCTCACACTTAGAATGTGGTTCGTAAACTCAACTAGCTAGTAAATTAATGAATACTATAAATCAATAATCTAAGTAATAAGTAACAGATATATATTGTTTTCAAATTTTTAATGACTTCCTGATTGATTGACTGATTTTCGATCTAAACTGCTGTCAGAGATCTTTCTACTAGAAACAATGCACCTTGGTTCGTGAGTTTGATTTCATTTGAAATCAGTGTATTTTGTTTCATATTTCAGACTATTATTATGATTATTTTGCTTACGTACGTATTGTGTATTAAATTAGAATAACTGTGATATGGTATTTAATAGTTAGTTGTCTTTGTTAATCAGAGAAAAATCCTTGGAATTTTACTGGCAAAATATTACATAGTATAATGAATGCACTTAAATAGATAGATATGCCATAATTCACGTGGTATTTCGTCTATGCAATGGTCATGTGATTGGAAGCAACTGATGTACTTTTAATCACGGTATATGGAAAAATGTATACGTCGTGTAAGGGTATGAATATGTTGAGAAATGATTTTTTTTTCATTTTTTTATCCTACCACATGCTTTTACAGTAAACTTAGGAAAATTTTTTAATATATATGCATTTGTGGAAAATTATTTAGTTAGTTAATCCGTAAATGTAGGTAGTATGCCTAAGCAATGCAAATTCTTATATCTATAACCAATTGTTTGGCTGCAAAGTCAAATTAGGCGTTTTTTGTGCACGATACATGTTACTGATTTATCAACTGTGCAGTGTGTTTCGGTTGTTTAACGTTAATCTTATTTTTTACTGTATACAATCCTTGATCATATTTTAACACTATTTACAGGATTCTCTTTTATTGGTTTAGTTCTATTTGAAAGAATATTAAATAGGCTGGGATTTGATGTGAAATTGAAAACATACTGACTATCAAGTCAGTTTGGAAGTATTGTTTAACTTTTTATTCTAACATTTGAACACCAAACAACTATTTGAAATTTGTCGTTTCGAAAGGACATGAACTTTTATTGCCCATAATACTTACTTACGCCTGTCACCCTTTGTTAGGATATTCATCCAATATCCTAAAAGAGTTATTGATCAATTCCTATTGGTTAATTTCTACTGGTCAATGTTATGGTCGTCCTAGATATCACTGTCACGTGCTCCAATGTTATTTCTTATTGGCCGTCATGAATTTCAATGTCACAGACTTCGATGCTGTTTCCTATTCAACCTTAATGTATAAATACGCATTATCTGTAACGTTTTATTACCCGGACCCGGATCCCTAGTCCGGGATACTGATTCACTTCTGGACTCGGACCTCGTACTTTCTGGATGCTTGTAGAATACAGATTCTACTTCATATCAAGTCTTCTTCTTTTACTCAGTGTTGGGGTTGGGACACTCGGATTAGAATAGCATGTCGTGTCGCCGGATCCTCGATCCTTGCTCCCGTTTTCCAACTAAGGTAAACTCGTAATGATTCAAGCATATCAAAATGACGTGTTTACGTTTATGCGTAACACCCTTAATGGAGCACAGGCCGCCGAACAGCGAATTATTTTTCTGATTAGCGCTTTTTTAGCGAGTTAGATTTCCATGGGATGGGGTCGCTAACCCAATTGCCCACTCCTCCTCCTTTGTCCGGGCATGAGTTCAGCAGTAGCTCCAGAGGGCCTCCTGGTGGATTATATATATATATATATATATATATATACATATAGTAGTTACCAAATAAATGATTTCTCTGCAAACGATTTTAAAACATTGATAATTATTATTAGTAACTTTTGTAAATAAAAATATTTTTCGGCAAATTGTAATTAAAACTGTCTTTTTTTTTATCACTCTTGATCTCGAAATAATAGTTTAAAGAATACTTGAAGTGATTCAATTATATTTTTTTTGTTTCGTACTTAACTAGAGTTGTGTAAGTTGAAGAAAGGATTTAGTAGTTAAAAGATTCAACTCTCATCAACTAAGTTATATGTTCAAACACTTACAAATCATTGGTTACTACTATATTAATCAGGATCACATATTGAATGTGACTGTAAAATTTTAGAAAATTGACATCGAAATGGATGAAAATGATATGATTTTAGTCTAAAAAGGAATTAAATTCTCCTGTAATAATGATTTTCCAAAATTTACTCTGGATAAGTGACTTGCTGCGCTAAGTCACAAACCGTTAGAAATATCACCAAAAATTATAAGTAATTTATTAACTTTCCAAGCAATGCTTGATTTCTTTGAAACTATCAAGTTTAACATTGATATTGATACCTGAATCTTTCCATGAAAACTATCAGGGTGTAGATGGATTCATGTTCATTTACTTCAAGTAAATAACTGTTTGAATTTAACGCTAGTTACGCATTGATGAAAGTACAAACGAAGGCAGTAGAAGAAAAACTTGATTTTTATGAAGAAAACGTTAACGCGAAATAATTTTCCATACAACGTAACCTTGAAGTGTGGATAAATTAGTAAACTAAAAGTGTCAACAAGCATTTGGAAACTGTTAATATTCATGAACTCTTAGACTACACTGGAAACCTGGAAGCCCTGAATGACATGGCTCAAAATCGTTCGCAGTGGCGCCAGTGCATTTATTCTTTATGTTCTCTCAAATGCTAATCTTCTGAATTCTTCAACCCCTCTAGTTTTAACTTTCTAAACTTTTCTCACTGAATCATACTTCTTGAATATCTTCTAATCCTAACCTCTCCGATTACTTCTTATACCTTTACTACCTCTTCTACTATTGGATTTGAATTGACAATTATATCTGTGTGCTGATGTGGTATGGCAACATGAACTTATGTACTTACGTACGAAGTTCTACGTTACATCTGACTGAATGACTGAAACCTGGAAGCACTGAACAACCGACGGTCCTGGGTTCGACTCCCTCTCTCTGTGGTCGTGCGTTCGCACTGCTTATTAGTTCCATACTAGAATAAAAACGGCCGTTCAGTGCTTCTTGGTTTCCACTGGTGGTCTAATAACATTGATCAGTTCATGATTTCAATGAAATTCTTTAATCTCCATAGCTCTACACTGACAATTAGAAAATATTTGAGATGGTTTGGAAATACGAACTAGAAAAAATTGTACTTCTGGGTTTAGTAACCAGAAAAAACTAACTCTCATTCATAAGTTTAAAATACTTAGGATTTTATTTACCAGAAAGCAATTACCTCAGTCTGTGTAATGTAAGTTACATTCAACATTGTATATGTATCTTTTTCTCTAAGCTGAAATACACAAGAATACTGATAAATTGTTTTTCCCTATCGATTTCTTAATTTTATCTAAATTCTGGTTAGTTTAAATTTTTTTGATCACGAACAACTGTAGTGATTTGTTAAAATTGTTTAAGCATTTTGTATTTTACTAGAATAGAGTATCTTGAAAAAACATTTATCAAGTCTGAAAGTCTATTTCTCAGTTGAACAGATAACAAAGTTCAGTTGTTAATTTATATTGAAAGCTAAATGATAAGATTTCTGATTAAAAAGTTCTATGTGTCTGTAATTGGACTATGGTCATTTTATTGATAAACATCAGTAGTAACATTTCTAAGTTCAAGACTCATGGAGATATTAGCTTCATCAATGACTAAGATACATCCTGCGAACAAGTGACAACTAGTATAATACCCGAATCAAATGAAGATCCCTACACAATATGCTTCCCTGTATCTAGTATTAAAAAAATGTATACCATCATGTTAAGTTAATTAAAATGGTGAATGCATTGCAATTAGCTTGAGAGAATTCGATCAACATAACATAGTGGACAACGTAACCTCGGTCTACTGTTACGTTGTCAATAAGCGGAGATGTAATTCATTATTATAAGTGTACTATGATAAGATATACAATCGCATTATGTAAACTAGTGATTTATTTAAAAGCCTATAATGAATTGAACTCCGCCCAGAGCCCCTCTGAGGCTACACTACCGGTCCTAAGCCCTGATAAAGGAGGAAGGTTGAACATGGGGTTAGCGACCTTATCCCGTAGAAAACCAACTCACTAGCTAAAAAAAACGCTAACCAGAAAAAATAATTCAAACCATTTAAACTCTGTCTTGCGAGTTAGAAAGTCTTCATTTAGAAGAGTTATGCCTTCTCATGAAAGTTGAGTTTTTTCGAAAGTCATGAGCCGCCGACACTTCTTAAAACAAAAGCAACCATTAATTTAGGTACTATGAATTAAAGATTAATATAGATGGATGATGAATAGTCATCATTTCACAAAGAAATATTGTAGTGTTACACTTATTGACTGAAGAAATACCACACGTATTGATCATTAGGTCAAATAAGAGAAAAGTTCAAACACGATCATAAACTCCAATATATACACCCTAATCTGTCGTCTGTATCTTTTAGAAAATTTATCTTCAGGAACTGAACATGTAAATCTAGAAAAAAAATATATATAACACATATAGTTCGACAATTTACTACTACTACTACTACTACTACTACTACTACTACTACTACTACTACTACTATGGTGCGAGCTACTTATAAGTAGTATATGACGCGATTGTAAACGTAATGTCTGGTAGCAGAAAATGGGGAAAGATCAAGAAATGAAAAGTGAGAACACAATGGAATTTGTATGAAACGCGTGAATAGTGAAATGTCAGACAATGGATTGATGATGGATTGAAGATTTGCAAATTAACGATTTACGATGTGGTTTTCCCATTTTACTGAGTAACTCTGTAATTTTCGTTCAGTACAATTCGGTTGCCCTCACCTGTTTTCTCCATCACTACACTACTACTACTACTACTACTACTACTACTACTACTACTACTACTACTACTACTACTACTACTACTACTACTACTACTACTACTACTACTACTACTACTACTACTACTACTACTACTACTACTACTACTACTACTACTACTACTACTACTACTACTACTACTACTACTACTACTACTACTACTACTACTACTACTACTACTACTACTACTACTACTACTACTACTACTACTACTACTACTACTACTACTACTACTACTACTACTACTACTACTACTACTACTACTACTACTACTACTACTACTACTACTACTACTACTACTAATACTATTACTATTACCAATAATAGTAATAATCATAAATATCAACTTTCTAGCACGTCACAAGAAAACTTATTTATATCATACATGATATACATCAACATTGTGTCAAGTTTGATTTTCTAACATGTACATTATAATCATTAGGTAACGTATAATTTACAGTGTCATTTATATTCAGTGAAACAATTAGATATCATGAACAACGTGACTGTAATACACATGTACAAATGAAATTCACTAAACTGTATTTCATATAATAAAAAAAGTAGATAAAGTCATATGATGGTAAAGAATAACATTATAAAATTTAATTTGACTGAAAGTACCGTAATCATGTGAGATTCTCGTATTATTATTATTATTATTATTATTATCATTTTTATCATAATTACTGTTATTATCACAGTTACAAAAATATTCGGTTGTTTGGTTAAAGACAAAATAAGACGATAAAAATCATTTGAACAAAATGAGACTGTTCAGTTAGGAGGTAGTTTATAGTTACATATTGAAAAGCTAATGAAAGCTAAGCAACTATTTCATCCTCGTGTTAAACTATCAACTCAAACAGAAACATTCAAAGAATGAAAATGGATTTTAAACGAGACAAGTCTCTTCATGAAAAAAACCATTTGAGTACTAATCATATGATAAACTGTAATTAATAAAGTTTCATCGTTTTCTGAGTGATGTGATTATCCGAGGTGAAATCGGTAGGTGGTCAAAGTCGATCACACATCGATCGGAAAACTTTTCTCCAACTCATTGGTTTGAAGATGTCAAGTTTTGTAGTAAGCATAAAATAATCAATTGTCGGCTGAGGAAGAAATCATGAAAAAGCAGTGGAGATGTACAGAACGCATATGGAGAAAAGCAGCCAAGTGTATCATAAGACAAGCCCTAACTTGGAATGCTCAAGGCAAAAGGAAAAGAGGACGTATGGAACTGAGACTTGAGGTAAACATGAAAAGGATGAATAACAACTGAGGACAACTGGAAAAGAGAGCCCAGTGGCAGAGTTGGTTGGAGAGTGTTGGTCAGTGACCCACGCTCTATGAAGGGTAATAGGTGTCAGGAAATAAGTAATTAAGCTGATGCTCATGATCTTGGATAAACCTTAGTGTTTCATGACACCAATGAGTAAGAATCAAATCTCTCATATTTTTCAACTTGGTACAATTAACAATACAGTGTTGTGATCACTCAAATATAATGTAATTAAATCGAGTAAAAGTATCAGGAAAGTTATTATTTGTTTTACACAAAGATTTGTGTTTTCATTTGCTCAATATTCCAAAATGAATTGAATCATTATGTAAATAACAACAATGGAAAATTAAAAAATTTTAAATCATAATGAATATCAAACTGGTTTAATAAGTTAGTGAGTGGCTTTCTCTTTTCAGTAGATTAATGGATAAGTGGTATGGTTTGAAGTGACATGTATTTTGGACCCGAGTGCAGGTGTGATTGGTTCAGGTGACCTGTCCTGCATACCACAGATTCCGCTGTTAGACATAAATCAAAGTATAGCTGATTACCGAACTGATCATTGGCTTGACAGGTTAAACGCTATTCTAAACATATATATTAATGAGGACATGTTTC